TACCGGGGATGTGCCCGCAACCAAGGTACATGCCCTTGACTGGAATCGAACCTGGGACCCTTGAGTCCGCAGGCCGACGCTCTATCCACTGAGCCAAACCAGTTTTGGTGCAAAAGGAATTTTCCATCCAGCACAGGGGGGTCCCTGTGTTCCCATCCAAACTCCAATTTGTTGAGCATTTACTGGATGGTAGGCCAGGGCTGGGCTGGGAACATGGCAGTGACCACACCGTCTCTGCCCCCTCCACGGATGACGGGTGCACAGCCTCTTGCACCGACTCCTCCCCTGCTCCCGTGAGCACACCCAGGAAAACGATAATGAAGCATCCGCTGCGTTTGTTCTGGGAGGATCAGAAGCAACATGGGCGGGGACTCGAACACTTGGATTCATTTTGCAAGGCAATTCACCCGTTTCTTTAGTCATGTCCCGAGAGTTTATGGAACCCTGTCCCACATCAGGTTCCTAGGGATGACTGGGCCCTAACCCTCAAGGAGCTGCTACTCTCAGGTCAGGAAGACAGGCAAAGCTTACATTCTTGGCATGCGGTAGCCCTCCTCAGAGAGGCCCTCCAGGATTGCCCTGGCGAAAGGGGTTTTCTCTCCCCCCTGCCCCCCAAGTCACCAATCTATTGCTTTATTTATTGATTTATTAATTTTTGGAGCACTTGTCATAGCAGAAACGATCTCATTTATTTGTTTATTCCCTGAAGATCTGCACTCCTTCCTCCTCTCACCCAGTCCATGAGGGCAGGGAGTCTGATGTATTCACTGTGCTTTTCTAAGCACCTCATATGGTACCTGGTACACAGAAGCCACTCGATACATTTTGAAATTTTTTTTATTGATTTTAGAGAGGAAAGGAGAGAGAGAGAGAGAGAGAGAGAGAGAGAGAGAGAGAGAGAGAGAGAGAGATACATTGATAGGCTGCCTCCTGCACACCCTGTACTAGGTGTCAAGCCTGCAACCCAGGCATGTGACCTGATCAGAATTGAACCAAGACCTCCTGGTTCATAGGTTGATGTATTGTTATTGATTTCAGAGAGGAAGGGAGAAGGAAAGACTGATAGAAACATCAATGATGAGAATTATTAATCGGCTGCCTTTTGCCTGCCCCCTAATGGGGATCAAGCCTGCAACCTGGGCATGTGCTCCAACCAGGAATCAAACCATGACCTTCTGGTTCATAGGAAAATGCTCAACCACTGAGCAACATCGGCCAGGCAATGACTCATATACACACTGAGTGGCCAGATGATGATGATCTCTGAGTGCATAATAATGCGGCCACTCAGTGTATATCCTATATCATAAAAGGCTAATATGCAAATTGTCCCCTCGACCAGGAGTTTGACCAGCAGGCAGGCTGGCCAACCTATCCCCCTGGCCAGGCTGGCTGGATCCCACCCATGCATGAATTCATGCACGAATTCATAGGCCTCTAACACACACACACACACACACACACACACACACACACACACACTGCGTGGCCAGATTCCTATGAGTTCAGAGATCATAATAATCTGGCCTCTCAGTATATATACTAGAGTCCTAATGCACGAAATTTGTGTAAGAGTAGGCCTTTCTTCTCCCGGCTGCCAGCATGGCTTCCTTTTAGCATCTGGGACCCGGGCTTCTCTCACAGCCCCAGCTTCGTCCAGAAGGACGTCCAGTCTAATTAGCATATTATGCCTTTATTACTATAGATAATTGATTTCAGAGAGGAAGCGTGAGGGAGAGATAGAAATATCGACGATGTGAATCATTGATCAGCTGCTTCCTGCACACCTCCTACTGGGGATGGAGCCCACAACTTGGGCATGTGCCCTAACCAGGAATTGAACCATGACCTCCTGGTTCCTAGGTTGATGCTCAACCATTGACCCACACTGGCCAGGTGGCCAGGTGTCTTCTTAAAGGAGTCAGGGGGGTCTTCTCAAATGAGGAGGCATTGCATGGGTTGCTGTTTCCTTTAATCCTCACTCTAGGGTAGGGGTGTCGAACTCAATCAGAGAAGGGGCCAAAATCTAAAATCCAGCCTAAATCGCGGGCCGAATGGTTTCCTGAACAGTCATAAACTGTCATTGTGATGGAAACGCAGCGGAGTGCAGTGATGACAGCGCGGTGCGGGCCACATTGCAAGGCCTGGCGGGACGGATTTGGCCCGCGGGCCTTGTGTTTGACACATGTGCTCTAGGGTATGTTTTTACTGATTTGAGAGAGAGAGGGAGAGAAACATTGATGTGAGAGAGAAACATCAAATAGTTGCCTCCTCTACACGCCCCAACCTGGGATTGAACTCAAAACCCAACCATATGTGTCCAGACTGGGAAATGAACAGGCAACCCTTTGCTGTATGGGATGAAGCGGCTAGGGCTGCATGCGGTTTTAAAGGATAAGGAGGAGTTCTCCATTTCTAGAAGGAAATGGATTCCTGTCACTTATTGTGTAGCGTGGGCCACATTCCTTGACGGCTCTACCTTAATTCCCATCCCCACTTCCTGTGACATTGAGATGAAAAAGACTCTTGTGAGAAGTAAATGAGATAGTATATACTAGTACATGAAATGCTTATCTAACTGCCAGGTACAGAGTAAACAGTCCATACAGGCAGCTGTCAAGACAAGAATGCATAGTTCTTAAAGCAGTTAGTCTGACTCTTAGCACATAGTGGGTATTCAGGCACACAGTGGGTATTCAGTCCTTGGTCTCAAAACCTGCTCGTCTGGGGAGGGAGTTAAGACCACTGCAGTCCTGGGGGCAGGGCAGGGCTCTGTAGGAGACGGACAGACATAGGCGGGTAATACTCACAATGTGCCCAATATGGTCCTCACACGTGTGAATCAATCCCCCTTTGACCTCGGCCGAGAGAGGTCCAGCGACCTGCTCAAGTTCACACACCTCGTGATTGACAGCACAGAGATTCAGATCCAGGTGGTCCAGGTCCAGAATACATGTTCCAGATGGTGACGTTTTTGTGAAGATGCATTCAAAGGGAGCCCAGATCCAGTTTGGCAATCAGGCTCGTGGCCAGGGGAAGAGGTGGTGAGTGCTCAGGGGAGGAAAAGATGGACTCTGCCTGTGTAACAGGGTGTTCAGGATCTGAAGAAGGAGGCGATGCACAAATGAAAACACTGGACAAGAAATATGAATTTAGAGGGCATGGGGGTGAGGGGGAGAAATGGAGATCTCTCTCTTGAAGAGGCACACCGAACCCTGGCTTTATCCGCTTTTTATTAAATGTTAGATACACATCTTGCCCTCAGTTAAAGCAGCAAACAGGTAGCAGACACACCATCTCTGAGATCAATAAAGATCAGTAAAGATCAACAAGACCTTTGAGGCTATAAGGTCCGAAAATTTCTTCGAGAGCCGCCACAATCTCAACAGACCAACGATGCTTGGCGTTAGCCCTGCTCACACCCAAGGTCCATCGGCCTTCCGCGTTCCTTGATGCCCTCCCGTGATAGTATGGGCAGTGGGTGGCTTCCCCGCATGCCTGGAGAAATCACAGAGGACTCCCTAAAGGAAATGGTATTTAGGTTGGGTCTTGAAGGATGAGGAGGAGTTCACTAGGAAAAGAAGGATATTGAGAAAGGCATTCGCTCATTCAATTAACATATCCTGAACTGGGTGATTCTGGGGAAACAGAGATTAATCAGACCTGGGCTTGGCCCTTCCTGGACTGCCCATCAGATGATGAAGGAGAGAAAGAGAGGCAGCAAGACTGGGGTGATGGGAAGGGCAACTGAGGGGAGGAGATGGATGAGAAAAAGAACAACAAGAGAATGTTCTCCGCAGTAGCCAGGATCTGAGGACAGTAAGAGAGAGGGAAAGTGCTGGTTCCAGGCAGGGGGGCCACCCGGGGCCTTGTGGTGTGTGGTTGTGAGGAAGGGAGTAGGTTATGGCAAGTGTGTGTCAACCTAGTTGGGACTGTATTTCTCAGACATCTTTGTGGTCTCTGCTTCTTTCAGTCTGAGTCAGTCTCTCTCTCTCTCTCTCTCTCTCTCTCTCTCTCTCTCTCGATCTTTCTGTATCTCTGTCTCCTTCCCCTAATTTTTCTTTCTTTCTTTTTTTAATGTATCTTTATTGTTGAAAGTATTACAGATGTCCCCCTATCCACTTCCCCCACCTCCATTGGTTCTTTTTTTTTTTTTTAATTTCTTTATTGATGCCCTAACCAGTTTAGCTCAATGGATAGAGCATCGACCTTCGGACTGAAGGGTCCTAAGATGGATTCTGGTCAAGGGCACGTACCTTGGTTGCAGGCACATCCCCAGTAGGGAGTGTGCAGGAGGCAGCTGATGGGTGTTTCTCTTTCATCATTGTTTCTAACTCTCTATCCCTCGCCTTTCCTCTCTGTAAAAAAATCAATAAAAATATATATATTTTAAAATTTCTTTATTGATTAAAGTATGTGTCCTCATCCCTCCGTTGACCGCCCAACCAACTCACCACCCCCTCCCCCCTGCTCATGCCTTCACCCACCCCACCCCCCACCCCCTGTGTTCGTGCCCATTGGTTAGGCTTATATGCATGCCTACAAGTCCTTTGGTTGATCTCTCCTCCTTTCGCCCACCCTCCCCAAGCTTCCTTTTGAGGTCTGGCAGTCAGATCGATGCTTCTCTGCTTCTGGATCTGTCCCTGTTCATCAGTTGATGCTATTCATTATATTCCACAAAGGAATAAGATCATTCCCTGTCCCCCCCACTCAGCCACATCCCATTTCCGGTGTGGCTCCTTGCCTCTGAGTCCTGGTTCTTCTCCCACCTGCAACCTGATTTCTGGGCAGCGCTCCTGGTCACGGGTTCTGCAAGACTCCAGAGCCTGCCTTAGGGACCTTCCTCCTCAACCACTTCCTCCTTCAGGCCACTGACTATCCTGAATGCAGATCCCGTACCTGGAGGCCATGGGGAATGAGAGTTCTCCCTCTGAGGATTCTATGTCATCGAGGCCCCCCCCCCCCCCCATGTAGTCAAGCCCCGACCCAGCAGGCAGGCAGTCAGCTCTTTCTAACAGGGGATCCCCCTGCCCAGCCTCCTTCTCAAGGCATTCAGTCCAGGCCCCAGGGCTTCCTCCTCCCCCAGCCACATTTCCCAACCCCAATTAATCACAGGGTGGCCCCAGGGAGGAGGAAGGCGATGACATGGCTAACCATAAAGAAGCAGGGACAGCAGAGCCAGACGCCAGGACCCAGGCACCCAGAGGTCATGAAGCTGGGGTTTGTCTGTGCTCTGCTTTCTCTGCTGGCAGGTGAGGCTCCTGCTATCCACCCTGTCCATCCTGCTGACCCTCCAGGGCCCCGGCAGCCTCTCCACGTGGCCCGGCACACCCCAGCCTCCTGTGCCTGCCCTCTAGGCATCTCTGCTTCTTTCCAGCCCTTCCATCTTGCTCTTCACTGATCCCCCTCTGTCTCCCTCTCCCTGCCTGCAGGAAACAGCTGGGCAGACACCAGAGCCATTGGGGCTCAGGAATGCCACCCCAACTCGCAGCCCTGGCAGGCAGGCCTCTTCTTCTTCACCCACCTCTTCTGCGGGGCGACCCTCATCAGTGACCGCTGGCTGCTCACAGCTGCCCACTGCTACAAGCCGTGAGTGACCGCTCTGGGGAGGAGGCGATGCATGAGAAAAGAGTGAGGTGGACAAGGGCTCTGATAGAGGAGAGAGGGAGCTGTGGGCAAGAAGGGGTGAGCCTCTATTTCTCTTCTCAGAAATATAATATATTGTGGAATACAATGAAAAAAATTACAAAGTTGTCAATATTTCCTCATTCTAGAGTTTTACGTAATCTGATCCTAAGAGTCTAAGATTGGAAACTTACACTCTTTGAACCTTCGACTCTGGCCCAGGGTAATCCAGAACCTCAGTCTCCTAAGGTCTTGGTTCCATGGGGTTCTACAGGAGCCTCAGAGAATTCTAGAATCTTGGAAGTCTACAGCAACACTGCCAATGAAATAGAACACTGGCCATTTAAGTTTCACTTGTCTAGTAGACACGCTGCAAAAGAAAAACAAGAGGATTTCATTTTAATAATGGATTTAACTTTAAATATTTTCACGTGTGATCAATGTTTAAATGTCTTAAACAATGTCATCATTAATCCTTTTATTTTTGTGTGTGTAAGCCTTTGAAACCGGACGTAGCCACATCTCAATCGGAAGTAGTTGTACTGGATAGAGCAATATTAAAATCTTAGATTCAGCGTATTCTGTCTGGATCCGTCAAATATAGATGCTCATAGTCCTAGAATACTGTGATTTGTAGCATCCAGAATCTTGAACCAAGAAAATTCTAGAAGGTTCTGCTCATAAGCATCTAGAATTTGTTGGACTTAAGATAGCCGATTGCTATGATTCCAGATTCTTAAAGCCCCCACACTTTTCATTCAGATAATTCTAGGGTCTCCAACTATTTGAACCCTAGATTTTCAAATTTCAAAAACCATAGCTTCATAGAATTCTGGAATGATAACAACCTTTGTGCAGTTGCTTCAAAATATTAGAATTTTAGGCTTGTCATGTCCTAGATTTAATTCTGATAATCTTTCAAACCTAGGATATTTGATCTAGAGAACTCGAGAACAGTACAACTTAGGATTCGTGACATTCTAGAACTTGAGCCTTATAGAAATCTAGGGTTTCTGGATTCCTAGTGTGTGAGAATCCTAAGGTCCTACAGTTTTAGATTCTGAGCATTCTGATAGAATCACTTAGATTCTACCTGGGGCAGAAATCCTGTTTGCCTATCTCTGGAATGGAGCTGTCCACTCTGTCCCGATGCTCTTCAGGAATGAAGCACAGGTATTGTTTACAGGATGCTGTGTGGGAATTTCCCAGCATGCATTGCTCCATGGTGGGGCCTCTTTCAGGTTCAAGGTCTGTACACCAGGCTAGAGGTCAGCTCCAAGCATAGAGAAGGAGAAGCAAAGAGAGATGGAGGCGGAAGGGATGAAGGGGCAAGGATGAGTCTGAGTGAGGGAAAGGGCTGGTTGTGGAGCAACACAGGGACAGAGAGACACAGAGACAGAAATAACCTCACACTCCTCAAACCCAGCGTTCTCAGTGACTAGCCTGGCCCCTCCTGGGAGAGGTCAGAGGTTGTGAAATGGCATGGATCTGCAGACCCTCATAAAGTCCTCAGCTGGCCAGGCCATGGACCCAGAACAGAACAAGTAAACTAGAAGCGCCGTGAGAAGGCTTGAGGTTACACCTCAGTGTGTGTGTGTGTGGGGGGAATGGATTGGAGGGTCAGCGATATGACAGATAGGAAAAGCCCTGAGGCCACAGATGACTCCAAAGTTGGGGATTTTCCATATCCTATGACCCTCCTGCAGCAAACACCCTGGAAGGCACAAACAGCCACTCCTCACAGAAGCCACCAAACCTGCGGGGGCAGAGGTGGGGCTGTTTCTGGGATGTAGGCGGAGCCCCCGTGTGCTTACCTAGTTCCAGGGGACATAGGTCACCAGCAAGGCACCAGGTGGGGCAATGAAGAAGGCGGATCCCTTGGCGTGGACCTTGGAGGAGAGTTACAAATGCACAGGCAGACAAAAGGATTGAGAGGCCCAGAGAGGGTGTGTGCCTTGTTTAAAAATCACACAGCACTCTGGGGTCGAACACATGACGGGGACCCAGAGAGAACAGGTAGCGTGTGGAGAGTCATGTAACATCGCGGTGGACATGCGTTTTGACCCCCTGAGGCCTGTTTCACCAGGTATCTGTGGGTCCGCCTCGGGGAGCACCACCTCTGGAAATGGGAGGGCTCAGAGCAGCTGTTCCGTGTCACGGACTTCTTCCCCCACCCCGGGTTCAACCAGGACCTTCGAGCCCAAGACCACAATAACGACATCATGCTGATCCGCCTGCCCAGGAAGGCACGCCTGGGACCTACTGTGCAGCCCCTCAACATCAGCCAGACCTGCGTCTCCCCGGGCACCCAGTGCCTCATCTCAGGCTGGGGGGCCGTGTCCAGCCCCATAGGTACAGCCTTGGCCATGACACACTCCCTTACGTCTCACACTGAGGGTCTAAACCCCTCCTCCTTCCCTGTCTCTGCCTTTTCATGTCTCCCCTCTATCTATTGATCTATCTATCTCTCCACCCATATATTCCAGCAAATCTAAGATGCTCTACATTATAAGGTGCATCATGATTTCACCTCATATTATTTATTATCATACTAGAGGCTTGATGCATGAAGATTTGTGCAAGAATAGGCCTTCCTCCCCCCTGGGGCCTTCACTCTGGCCTCCATCTTCCACCTTTGCTCAGGCCTGGAGCCTCCTTCTGCCTTTGCACACTGCCCAGAGGCTCAGAGTGGTCCAGCCGCCACCATCTTTGTCACATCAATTTGCATATCCCCTCCTTATTGGCTGTGGAAGCCTCCATCTTTGTTGTGAAGTGACGGCCAATTTGCATATTCCGTCTTTATTAGATAGGATTATTGAGAATAGGGGGATGTCCCATTGACCCTTGTGAGATATCATTTCCTGGAAGACATCTCCTGATTACAGGGTGTTTAAATGTGCAAATATATGTATCTTAGAATCCAAATAAGGCCTTCTATTCTCAGAGTCAGAAATCAAAGACCTGTTAGCCAAATTTGGCTTCCCACATTAGTGCTGGTTTTCCGAGCGTCTTGAAAAAATCATGTCATAATTTGTTGCTGCCAACATCTCAAACCTGGGAGATTCTACATAGCAGTCAAGGTTCTTACTCACATTCCCACGAGAGCTACCAGTCTTGGATAGAGCGCAGGTGGCCCCCTGCAGGCCAAACCACAACAGTCTCCGCCTCACTCCCTTTTACCCACCAAGCCCCTGGATACGTCTGAGTTTGCATCCATGTCTATAATTTTTGCACATTATATACACGGGCACATGCATATTTATAGCCATGTCTATCTCTCTCTATATGTGGTAACGCCCTCTTTCACTGCCACGTATCTCTACATCTTTATCTCTATATCAATGACTGTCTCCCTATAAATGTCTCCTCCTCTCTAAAGCACAGCCTTCTCACTGGATATCGCTGGGCTCATTCCGATTACTTCATGGCCTCCTCGAAGAATTTCTTTCCCCTTCAGAGGTTTCTAGCTCCTGGCATGGTCTCTATATTTTCTATGTAAATTATATAGAAATATGTAATTTTGTCTCTCTTCTTGCCACTCGCCTCTCTGTGTCTTTTTCCTTCTTCTTCTCTGCATCTTCTCTTTCTCCCTTTCTCCTTCTTCATACACATCTATTTCCCTTCTATGCTAGGATTCTGTCTCTTTGTCACTGTCGTTGTTTCTATCTTGGAGAATCTTTTGCTGTGGTTCCAAGGATCCTCCTTCCGAAATGGGGTGGGGAGAGGGGGAGAGTCCAGCCCATGGCTTTAGGAGTTGAGCATCAACCTATGCACCAGGAAGGTCACGGTTGGATTCCTGGTTAGGGCACATGTCCAGGTTGCGGGCTCAATCCCCAGTAGGGGGTGTGCAGGACGCAGCCAGTCAATGATTCTCATCATTGATGTTTCTATCTCTCTCTTCCTCTCTGAAATCAATAAGAATATATATATATATATATATATATATATATATATATATATATATATATATATATATATATAAAGAAAGAAGGAAAGAAAGAAAGAAAGAAAGAAAGAAAGAAAGAAAGAAAGAAAGAAAGAAAGAAAGAAAGAAATGGGCAGGGAGGATGCTTAGTGAGATGAGGAAGGCTGCTGACCCTCTGTGACCTCCTTCCCCCACAGTGGAGTACCCACTCACACTGCAGTGTGCCAACATCAGCATCCTGGAGCCCAGACTCTGCCGGCGGGCATACCCTGGCCAAATCTCCAAGCGTATGCTCTGTGCCGGCCTGTGGGAGGGGGGCCGTGGCTCCTGCCAGGTGAGATCTACTCTGGGGAGGAGGTGGAGGATGGGGGGCCTGCGAGATGCTGCTGGGTCCAGCACCAGATTTCTGGATCTAAAATAAGAGGGGCCTGGGGAGGGGCCTGGGGAGTCTTGGTTTCTAAGTCCTGGGGGAAGAGGGTGCTAGGGAACCAGAATGCTAGGTCCAAGGGAGGGATGAAGGCTGCTAGCTTTTCCTCCTGGGTTTGAGGGAGGAGGGCCTGGAGAGCTACTGGGGCCTCTCTCTCTGGGTCACAATCAGTAGGTGACCCCGCACCCTTGGCTTCTGGGTGTCTGGGTGTCAAGGGAGTGGGGGGGTCTGTGTGAGCCTGGCCTAACAGTTCCTCTCTTTTCTCCCACCCACAGGGCGACTCTGGGGGCCCACTGGTTTGCCACGGGACTCTGGCTGGTGTGGTGTCTGGGGGCTCGGAGCCCTGCTCCCGACCCCGGCGCCCCGCCGTCTACAGTAGCGTTTGCCACTATGTGAAGTGGATCAGAAAGACGATGGAGAAATACTGAGCCCTTGCGCCTAGGATGACCAGAGGCGGAGGGGGGTGCAGGATAACGGGGTCCAGCCTCAAGGGTCTCCACCACCGGTGCCCTCCCTCAGCTGCCCTGGAGAAGCCTTCTGGTTACTGCCCCCTTGGGATGGAGCAGGAAGACAATGTCTATCCTCCACTTTCCAGCTCCCAGACATCAGCAAGAACTGGCACCACCTTGTGCAACAGCATCACCTGGCGGATCTGCCCCAGGACCGCCATCCACCCAGTAGCCCAGCCCCCTCGGAACGTTGCCCAATGAGAGGTCTCCGCTGGACTCCGGCCCCACCCCCTTTGTCAGAGTCCCCGCCCCCGTGACATCAGGGCTGCTGGTGCTTTCCCCCCATTGGCACGAACAGGGAGGGCGTGGCCCCGCCACTCGCAGCCCTGCTTTTTAGGAGGCGTGTCCTGGGTTCGCATCCCGCCCTGGACCGTCTGGGAGGAGTGGATGGGGAGGGTCTGGATGTCTTCAGATCCCGTGGATGGTTTTGCAATAAAGGCATGGAGCCCTCTCTGCTTTCTTGCTTGGGTCGTGGGACGGAGGAAGGGCAGCGGATGGGCGGTGGAGTGGCCGATGGGGAAACGTCACCGAGTTAAAATTCCCCCTGAGAAAATTTCCTCAGTGGGTCCTGCCTGCGGTCTGTCCCCATCAGCCCTATTGCAGCAAGCCTCCCGGGTTCCGTCAGGCTGGTCCCGTCGCCCCCAGGGGAAGGGGAAACCAGGTCACGGTGCCTCCCAAACCTGCCTGCCCAGGTCCCGCCCTCTCAGGGGACAGAGGGCTGGGCCGGCCCGCCCTCAGGTGTCCCAACCAAGAAGACGCGCCTTTCTTCCTTTGGGGGTTCCTGACAGCAGCCCCCACTGTCCTCCATCAGTTCCAAAGTCCAGGCTCCAAGTCCTCTCATCCTTGTAGGCAGGGGTCCAGCATCCTCCCCCTCCTCATTCAGACCCAGGAGTCTAGGCCCCCAGCCCCCTTCTCTTCTCAGGCCCAGGGTTCTGAGCCCCCAAGCCCTGGCCTCTGTCCTTTCTGTGTCAGACCCAGGAGGCACAGCTCTGAGCTCCTCTCCCTTGCCTCTGGACCCCAAGAATCCAGCCCCTCCTCCCTCAGCCCCTCCTCACTGCAGCCCAGGGGTGTTCTGCCAGCCCAGGGCGGGAGGAGGCGGAGCAGGAGGCGGGGATTCCCAGTTAAAAGGCTCCAGATCCCTGAAGCAGGCAGAGAGCTGAGCACCTGGGGCCTCCTCTGTCTTTGGGCCAGAATCAGTAGGTGATCCCGCACCCCCCCCCCCCTGGCCTCTGGACCCCCCTTCAGGCCCAGGACTTGAGCCTGAGATCCTGTTTTCCTTCCGAACCGGGCCCAGGAATCTGAGCCCCAGCCTCCTCTTCCCTGAGACTCAGGAGGGGTCCGGGGTACGAAGCAGGGCTCCCTTCTCCCTGGGGACCTGAAAATTCAGACCCTCCCAGCTTCCCTCTCTCCTCGGATTCAGAAATCTGGGGCCCCACCCCTTTCTAAACTAAGATCCAGGACCAGAAGAACCACTCTGGATGCCCTCTGCTCCCCTAGACCAACCCCCAATCCCAAGACCCTACTAGGATTTCAGGCTCTTCCCTCCTCCTCCCTCAGCCCGTGCTCTCCCTCCCCCAGGCCTCAGCATGGGACGCCCACCGCCCACTGCCGCCGTGTGCGCCTGGATGTTCCTGCTCCTGCTGCTGGAAGTCTGTGCAAGTGAGTGCCAGCCCGGGTGCATGCCTGTGGCAGGGTGTGTGATGGTATGTGGGGGGCTTCCGGGGCTGGCTGGCTTTGGGGGGGGGGGTGGAGGCACAGCTCTCTGGTGATGGCAGGTAGATGCGTGTCAGGGGACGTTGCACACTTGCATGAGCACCCCAAGCTCTGGGGGCTGCTTGCTGGGGGGGAGGGGCGGGGGGGGGAGGAAGACCCACGTGGGACTGTAGGAGCCGGTGGAAGCACGCTTGGGTGTGTGACTCCGTGTGACGCATGAGTCACGGGGTTCAGCGAGTGTACGTGTGCCAGTGTGTGTGGTGGGTGGCATGTGCAAGCTGGGAGCCCCACACACGAGGGTGTGTGTGTGTGTGTGTGTGTGTGTGTGGACACAGGAGAGAGGGAGGGAGGGAGGCAAGCAGAGAGAACTTGGGGTGTGTCCCTTTGAATCCACGCTTCTCTCCTCCCTTATCCCCCCCCCCCCCACCTTCTACAGGACACTGGAGGGCAGAGGAGAGCAAGGTGCTGGGGGGCCAGGAGTGCAAGTCCAACTCGCAGCCGTGGCAGACGGCCTTGTTCCAGAGGGACCAGCTGCTGTGTGGGGGTGTCCTCATCGACGACAACTGGGTCCTCACGGCAGCCCACTGCAAAAAGCCGTGAGTGGATGCCCCGCCTGGGGCAGAGGTGGGCTGGGCTGGGTGAAAGAGGGGGCTGGGTTTTACCTTGGGAAAGAGAGAGCTGGGTCTCAGGCCGAGAGAGAGAGAGAGAGAGAGAGAGAGAGAGAGAGAGAGAGAGAGAGAGAGAGAGAGAGAGACTAAGAGAAGAGGGAGCTGGGAGTCTGGACTCCTGCGTCTGAGGGGACTGTAAAGAGGGGGCTGGGTTTTACCTTGGGAAAGAGATAGCTGGGTCCCAGGCAAGAGAGAGAGAGAGAGAGAGAGAGAGTCTGAGAGAAGAGGGAGAGTCTGAGAGAAGAGAGAGCTGGGAGCCTGGACTCGGGTCTGAGGGGGCTGCATCCCAAACGAATCCCCATCCTTCCAGGAGGTACACTGTCCGCTTGGGAGAGCACAGCCTGAAGAATAAGAGTGGATCGGGGCAGGAAAGGGCCGTGGCCCAGTCCATCCCACACCCCTGCTTCAGCGGCGACAGCGACGACCACAACCACGACCTGATGCTCCTCCGGCTACGTGACCCAGTCTCCAGAGGGGACTCCGTGAAGCCCATCAACCTGACAGACCACTGCCCTCGCGTCAACCAGAAGTGCACCATCTCGGGCTGGGGCACCGTTACCAGCCCCCAAGGTAGTTGGCGTGGAGGAGAAGGAGGAGGAGGAGCTGGTTTTCCCAGTGGATCCCAAGCCGTTGGCCAAACTTGACCCCTGCAAGGAGATAAGGAAGGGACTGTGGCGGTGGGGTTGCGATTCACACGTGGCCCATGTTGGGAACACGAAAGGCCAAAATATTAATAGGAGTGGTGGGAGAAAGTAAGTAAAGTAACACATTGTTAAGTAGGGTTCAAAAATATGGATGGATTGATGGATGGATGGGTGAATGAATCACTCCTTTATGGTGGAGAGTAACGTGTTATGAGACCTTTGTTGGGTAGGATTTTATATAATTCACAGACTTGGGATACAAAGGATTTGCAGCGGCCCAAGAAAGATTTCTCAGCTCCCTTTTCCCCTTGAACCCAACAATACTGGCCCAGGCTCTCAGCCTCACTTTCCTCACTTGCAAAATGAGGAAAACTAATGGATAGACTTTTAAGCTCCCTAAGGGCTCATTAAAAAAATTTTTTTTTAAATATATTTTACTGATTTTTTACAGAGGGGAAGGGAGAGGAATAGAGAGTTAGAAACATCGATGAGAGAGAAACATCCATCAGCTGCCTCCTGCACACTCCCTACTGGGAATGTGCCCACAACCAAGGTACATGCCCTTGACTGGAATCGAACCTGGAACCCTTGAGTCCATAGGTCAATGCTCCATCCACTGAGCCAACCCAGTTAGGGCTATATCTATTTTTTTTTTTTCATTGGCCATTCCTAGTGCTCAGGGTGTTCCATATGTATTTGTTGGATGATCCTGTGGATGAGTGAAAGAAGGAATCAATGAATGCATCCCTCCTTTCCAAAAGTCATTGTGAAGGTTAAATGAGATAGATGTGAGCATATAACTCTGGCTGGGAGAGGTGCCCTTGTTTCCCCACTCAAGTCCACTGCTTAAAGACTGATAAGAAGGATGAATTCCACTTACAGTCATTAAAATTCAAAGACTTGTGAAGGATCTGACAGGCCCCATGAGCTGTATGGGATGAGTCCCTGTCCTCATAGAGTTGTATACCAGGTGGGGGAAATAGACAGTAAACCTATAACATGACATATGAGAGAGAGGTGTAGTTTATATAATGAAATACCCTGAATGGTAAGAGGATAGGGAGTGATAGAGGTGTGGTGCTTTGTTTTGTCTTGTTTTTGTTTTGTTTTTAAAATGACTGTGGGCATGAGGACATCTTTTTATTTTTATTATTTTATTTTTTAAAATATATTTTTATTGCTTTTTTTTACAGAGAGGAAGAGAGAGGGATAGAGAGTTAAAAACATCCCTGAGGGAGAAACATCAATCAGCTGCCTCTTGTACACCCACTACTAGGGATGTGCCCACAACCAAGGTACATGCTCTTGACCGGAATCAAACCTGAGACCCTTCAGTCTGCAGGCCGACTCTCTATCCACTGAGCCAAACCGGTTTCGGCAGGACATATTTTTATTAATATCAGAGAGGAAGGGAGAGGGAGAGAGAGAGAGAAAAAAAACCCAAAACAAATAAAAAACATCAAGGATGAGAGAGAATCGTTGATTGGCTGCTTCCTGCATGCCCTCTACTGGGGATCAAGCTCACAACCCGGGCATGTGGCCCTTAACCGGAATCGAACCCGGAACCTTTAAGTCTGCAGGCCAACACTCTATCCACTGAGCCAAACCAGCTAGGGCAAGGTGTGGTGTTTTAATTAAGGGTCGAGAGAAGGCTTCAAGGAGGAGGAGGAGGTGGAGGAGGTGACAATTGGAGGAAGTAGATTTCAGCTGAGATTGACAACCTGGTGGCTTGGGGGTGGGAAGACTTGGATGAAGTGGGACAGATATGTCACAAGAGGGCACCTCCAAACCCTCTTGTCTCCTGACTCTTAATTTGAAAATGACTCAAAGCAAGAAAGAAAAGATAGGATCCAGTGGTCTGACGCTTGGTCCATGGCTCTGTTTAAGGTGGTGAGAAATGATAAGCCACGAGGAGTGTGCCAGGAACCAGCCCCCACCCCCCTCCCCTGCCCCCCGCGCAGCTGTGGATGTACAGAGGAAAGGTTCGATCCAGACAGGGATGGAGGGCCAGGGCTGCTCTCTCTGGGAACTTACACCCTGTACTCCCTCAGCGAACTTTCCGGATGCCCTCAACTGCGCAGACGTCTACATCGTGCCCCAGAAGCGGTGTGAAGACGCCTACCCCGGGAAAGTCACCGAGGCGATGGTCTGTGCAGGTGACAGCAGTGGGGCTGACTCATGCCAGGTGAGTGACTTCCTAATCAGCCAATCAAAATCCCTTCTGAATGAGCCAGCCTGAAACCCCTTTCTTCCCGCCCCCTTTCCCTCCCTTCCCCCCCACCCCCCTACCCCCCACTGGTAGAGGCTGGAGGCACCTCAGAGGGGTGACCCCACAGGGTTAGCACTCGGAGAAGTTCCCATCTCTCTGAAGTGGGAAGAAGATTTAGAGCAGGTCACACGGCGCAGGGATCAGAAGCGTTGAGTAGTCGTTGTCGTTTTTACGGGAACCCCCTGTCTTGGGGATGAGGTTCAGGGAGGGGAGAGGTAAAGGGGGAGGCAGGAATGTCCCAGTGCCTAAGCTGGTAGTTGGGCATCCCCCAAGAGGATGTTTCCATGAAGGAGAGAGTCGGAGGCTACAGGGCACACAGGCTTCTGTTCCCTTCCTATGTGTTCGTTCCCGATGTTTCTGTGGACTCTGCCATCCACCAGCGAGACAGCCGCTTTGATGTGGCACCTGACTCAGTTTCCTAAGCACAGCTGCCTGCTCCTGTGACTGATTTCTTGGGGGGAGCAATGCTCTCTTCTCAGTTGCCCAGGGAACGGTGCCATGGATTACAGGGCTCCTTCAAAGACGCCCCATCCCCCAAAATGACAAGTCTTGGGATTTGCCATAGATATAACTCTCTCTTTTGCATTGGCTGCAACTCCAGTCTTCAGGGCTCTTCCTGGCTCTGCGTGGAAACCCCGCCCCCTTTGCCAATGATTGGACCCTGAAAACGATGCTCCACTGTGTCCTTCCCCATTGGCCAGGAACACAGTCATTTTATCAGGGATCATGCCCTGAAATCTGTTTCTCTGGATGATTCCTACAGATGATGGTTTTTCCCCACAGAGACTCCTACAATTATTGGCATAGGTGGGCGCACATGTGTGTGTGTGTGTGTGTGTGTGTGTGCATGTATGTACAAGAACCCTGCTCTTTCTCCTGTTTGGTAACTGGACTCAAAGATCTGTTCACCAAAATCCAGGAAGTGGAGGCCACATCAGCTCAGTCCCCGATGTTTTCTCTCTTTAGATTGGACCCTTCAGAGCACTCTCTTCTCTCATTGGCCAGCGTTTCCTTCACCACCCTTAGACAATTTGTCTGGTCCCTTGTATGTGTAAGACCCCACCCCACTCTGTTAACCTCTCGCTCACCCTAGTCTGCCGGGGCTGACCAGCAGACCTTGAGCAACGGATGAATGATTACTCTGTGTTTGTTTCTGTGAAAGAGAGGGCTAAGGGACTGCCTGGCTAAAGGAGCCAGACAGCTCCATTCACCTGCCTTCTTAGACTTTTATTGTAGGAACTGCTTGAACTGAAATTAACCTCTAGACACTATGAGTAGGGTAAGTATCCTTGAGGAAACACATGCATCTGTAGGGTCTTTCAAACAAGGACGTTTTGAAGTCTAAACATGAAGAGTCCAGTAAAAAATAAAAATTAAAAATAAAATAAAATAAAATAAAGTCCAGGGGCTCAGACTTGTTTGGAAAAGTCAAGGCTGGGTCTACCACCTTCGGCAAGGTTCCCCTAGCTCAGTGGTTGGCAAACTCATTAGTCCAGAGCCCAATATCAACAGTACAATGATTGAAATTTCTTTTGAGAGCCAAATTTTTAAAACTTAAACTATATAGGTAGGTATATTGTTATTAATTTAATTAGTGTACTCCTAAGCTGGCCTTTGCTGAAAAGTCAAGGGGCCAAAGAGCTGCATGTGGCCCAGGAGCCGCAGTTTGCTGACCCCGGCCCTAGAGGTGTCCTACCTTCCAGAGAATCCTCCTTACAGACTTTCCAACCAAGTCTCGTGCTTCCCTAAATCAGCCAGCAGGTGGAGCCAGGGGACAATGGCTCTTGTCCCCAGTGGCTGGAGGGGCCAATCATGTAGCAGACCTGGTGCCAAATGCTGGGTATCTTAGGTGAAACTCTTCCCTTACACCCTCCAGGGCGATTCCGGGGGCCCATTGGTGTGTGATGGAGTTCTCCAAGGGATCACATCCTGGGGATCGGACCCCTGTGGGCAATCCAAGAGGCCTGGTGTCTACACCAACCTCTGTCGCTACCTCGACTGGATCAAGAAGACCATCCACGGCAAGAGCCCAGCCTAGGACAAGCTTTGGATTCCCAAAATAAACCAAAAACCATGGCCTGGCTCTTTGCCTGTCTTGCTTTGGCCCTGCTGGGAGTGTGGAGGGACAGGATCTGCGCCCGATGGAAAGCTAGACAGGAGGTCTAGAGAGACCAGGACCCCATGGCCACTCTGGCCACCACCATTGCCTGAGGGGACCCATTTTTCCTGGAAAGACTTGGAGAAAGGGAAGGTTAATTTCAGGGGACAGAACACATGTAAAAATGTTTTTAATATAATTCTTTATTGTTGAAAGTATTACATGTGCCCCTGTTTCCCCAGCCATTATCCCCTTCCAGCTGGCCCCCGCCCCCGCTTCCCAGACCCTCACCACCCCACTATCTGTGGTCATAGGCCATGCATATATGCATACAAGGTTCTAGGTTTTTTATTTCTCTCTCATTTTATAACTTTTTAACTTCATCTTCAACCATCAATTGCTCTATTCCCCCAGGATTTTAAAAATTTCATTCATTCATTCATTCCCACCCACCCATCCATCCGCCCCCGCATACCCTCTGAGATTCTGCACTCTGTTCCATGCTTCCATGTCTCTGGATCCACTCAATTCATTAGTTTACTTTGTTACTTAGATTTCACATATGAGTGACATCGTGTGATCCAAGACATGTAAGAATTTTCTAATATCCAATGGCATGGCCTGTCAAAGACAGACTTGAAAGGGTTTATGCTTCCTTCTCCTGAGCAGCTAACATGATTTTACCGGTTGAGGAGAGATATGCAAAGTAGGGTGCGGGAGGTATGTTGACAGCTTAAGTATGCACTCATGAACACCCATAAAGCTCCACCTAGGTGAAGAAATAGGACATTGACAGCCCTCAGATTTCTGAGAGACCCATTCCTGATCCCTCCCTCCCTTCAGGAGAAATAGCATTCTTTCTCACAGCTTAGAGCTGCCAGGGTGTAACCGCTATGGCAGAAGGAAGTGAGGCACATCATTGCTGGTATCCAAGCTGAAGTGTGGAGAAGAGGACATTTGGGACAGTTCTTGGGAAAGATGTGTGTGGAGTGGGTCGTAGTTGTGAGGATATATAATAAATAAATTGCCACCAGGTGGAGGCTGGCTTCCCCTCTGCGTCTCTCTCCTGGCTCTTCCAGGATAGGATGTTCTATGACTTTCTTGCTAATAACCATCTAATTCCTCTATTTGACACTATAAACCCTTCTCTACTGCTTCTGCATTTTCATAGTGTCTTCTCTCTCGTGTCTTTTTTTATTTCTCTCTCATTTTATAACTTTTTAACTTCATCTTCAACCATCAATTGCTCCATTCCCCCAGGATTTTAAAAATTTCATTCATTCATTCATTCATTCATTCGTTCATTCATAGAAAGAGAGAAACATCAGTTTGTTGTTCCACTATCTGTGCATTCATTGGTTGGTTCTTGTATGTATCCTGACCGGGCATTGAACTTGCAACCTTAGCAGATAGGGCAAATGCTCTTACCAACTGAGTTAGCACACTAGGACTCTCAGGATTTCTCAGGTCATATTTTCATGAAAGAAAATCCAACTGGTCTAGCTCAACTTTTCTCCTTCAGCCTCATCATAGGTCACTGAAATGGCCAATGGTTTGACTGCATTCTGGTCAAGTGACCAACCCTATCCAATCACCGCTGGGTATTTGGAGTCATGCTCTATGAGACATGTGGATGGAGTGGTTTCCTCCAAGGGTTGTGAGATGTCTTGCATACATCAGTTTCCCTGAACCTCCATGAAAGTCACTTCATGCCAGAAATCCAAAGGAAAGTTTTCATGCCTGACAATAAATCCCTGGTGCCAGGAATGCATATCTGGGGGCTACCTGTGCCGTGCCGCACAGCCAAGGGTTCGGTGAGCCTGAGGAGGGGCAGTGAAGCATTAAAGAAAAGACAGACAGAGAGACTATAGCTGGGGCTTGGAGGGTCTCCTGTGCCTGTATGAGGCCACAGAGGAGGATCCAGCCAGCAAGCTGAGCCTTTATTTTATAGTCAGAGAAAAACAAGGTAGTGGTCACCATAGTTACTATGTTCCTGTGAGTTTCACTTGTTTTGGCAGCACTTGCTGCACCTCCCACAGCCCATTCGCTACCCAGGAAGGATCTAGGGGACAGCCATAAAGTCAAGCTTAAATATGCTAAGAGGGCTGTGCCCTCCAAGATGGGACTTGTTTGTGGTTCTGCCACAGGGTCAATCTGAGGCTTAACCCTAGAGCTGTTCCCTACAGCTACCCAAGGGTCATCTCAATATGAAGAATAGCCCAGATTTGAAAGCAACTTAAGTGTCCATCCATAAATGAGTGGATAAAAAAAAGCTGTGTTAACATTTACACAACAAAATACTGCTCAGCCCTAAGAAAGAAAGAAGTCTTACCCCTTTCTGCAGCATGAATGGACCCAGAGAGTATTACACGAAGTGAAATAAGCCGGTCAAAGAAACACAAGTACCATATGACTTCACTTCTATGTGGAATCTAATGAACAAGATAAATGAACAGAGTGGAGGCAGACTCATGGATATAGAGAACAGACTGACAGTTGTCAGAGGGGAGGAGATTGGGGGCTGGTTGAGAAGGGTGAAGGAATTAAGCAAAGAAAAAAAAAAAGGACTCAAGGATAGAGACAACAGTATGGTGACTACTAGAGAGGAGGGTGGTGGGGGAGGTAGAAGAGGATAAAAGGGAGGATAAGTGGTGATAGAAGGAGACTTGGCTTGGGGTGGTAAACACACAATACAATATACAGATGAAGTACTATATATAGCAGTCACCCACGCCAAAGAATATATTCAGCAGCTTGGAAACAGGAACATCATTATGATGGCAGAATTCAGATCCACAGTGCATAGAGTTTACCATTTATTTCCTAAAAACAAACAGCAATTAAAGACAGATGCTTTAAAAAAAAATTCAATCTAAACATTTAAAAAGTAACTAAACATGGTGGTTTTGCACCAACTCTGTCTGGAGCCACCTGACCCCGCCTTCTCAGCTCCTTGATACAAGTCCGGAGGTGAAATTCGTTGCCAATGACTTGTGGTAGCCCTCTTTGCTGAATTTTTTTAAAAGGTGTGGAAATCTGTAGGCTTGGATACAAAGGGCCATGTCTCTTTTACAGGCAGTGCAAGATAGTTAACCTCTCACATACATATTTTACTGAGGTAAAAGATAACGATAAGGTCATCTCCTCCCAGTATCAGGGTGTATTATCTCTGGAATTTTTGGAGAGAGTATGCTGGCATTGAAAGCTGTTCTTTTCCCAGATGCACAAACTCAGTGGACAGGTTTTGTTCAAGGTAAAGGTTAAGGTGCCGTATAGACCCTGAGGACGTGACTTCCTGCAATCACCCACCTGTTGGGAACATTTTAGGATCAGAACATGCCCATGTGGTTAGTTTCAGTGAGTGAGTTTGTCAGATGTGCCAGATAGTAATATAGTCTTGCTCGTATTTCTTCTAATCATATCTCCCTCTTGAGTCTCTCCTAGCCCCATGCTCTACCCTTCCCCATATTGCAGAAATTCTGCAGCCACTGGTTCCCTGCACAGAGGGGGTTAAGACCCCTCCTTGAGCAAAGTATAGAAGCCAAGTCTCCCGGATGCCCCTCTCTCAGACCCGAAAGTCCATACCCGTCCTGCCCTGGACCCACAGTCAAGGGAACAGCTCCCTCCTAACTCTGGATCCCAAAGTTTAGACCACCATGAAGGTCCTCCCTTTGAGACTTTGGAGTCCAGGTAGCCCCTCATATTCTTCTTCAGA